TAGAATGTATCTATGTAGAGTCACAGTGTAGTTTTGACGCCATTTTTTTTCAATACGTAGGTAGGTATGGAAGGTTAGTGTTAGATTAGTTTAGGTTAAATTAGATTAGATTAGATTAGCATTACATTAAGCTATGTTAGGGTTAGGTTAAGTTAGAGTAGTTTAGATTAGGTTAGTTTAACATTAGGATGGTTAAGACAAAAACGAAATAAACTGAGGTCTTTTCTCCAGGTGAGGTAAGACGTGCAGTGTGTCCTTCAATTAACAGGTGTATAAAGGTAAGTGGTATGCAAATTACTTACTAGAAAATGTTAAGAAACGCCGTATAATTACTTAAGGTGAAAGTTACATTATATCTTATTAGTTTTGACAATACTTAGTGGAAGATGGTGAGTAAGGTTAGGTTAGGTTAGGTTAGGTTGAACATAGGTATATACACACACACACACACACACACACACACACACACACACACACACACACACACACACACACACACACTTACCACCACCACACACACACACACACACACACAAACACACACACACACACACATACTCTTACTCACTCACTCACCACTGACGGAGCGGATCAACTACGCAGATGTCTCTGCCTCCGTCACCTCGTTAAATGGTGTGAACGTCACGAAGCAACGAGAAAGACGTGACCACCCTCTCTCTCTCTCTCTCTATTCCTATGCTCGTCCTTCAATCCTCCACTCCTACCCGAGAATCACTGATGAGTCGCACGGTCAAGTATTACCGCCACTGTGTATTCTGGAGGATGACTTGAGGCCCGGTCAGAGCCACTCACTGTGTCCAAACACCCGAGGAATACCTAAAAAACACACATACTCAAACACACACATACACATACATACACACTCATACACACACACACACGTATGCGTATGTGTGTATGTCCCCCAATACGCCTGCAACACTATTAAGCACCCAACACTCGACATCCTCAGGTGATCAGTGCCCGTCCAGGTGTTGTCAGGTGTAAATCTCATTAAGTATTACCTGCCTCACCTGGTGGTCACGGTACATTGTTTCTGTATTACCTCCAACACCAAGACTTTCTAACCCCTTGGTACGTACCCTCATCTACACGGTACTTTATAGACTCAAGTACCTAATAGCCTCTTGGTACTCTGTAGACTCAAGGACGTACTAAGTTTTGGTACTTTGTGTGCTAAAGTACTTACGATACACTTGAGCACGAAATCTTAATCAATTAGTACGATAATCCAACCCTTTGAGTACGATAATACAACCCGCTTGAATACGGTATCTCCTTGAGTACGATAATCCAACCCCTTGTGTTAAACATCTCTAATACGAAGCCTTGGGGGCACTGAGTACAACAGCTGAGGCAACTTCTTTTGGGAAATGACACTTTAAGGCTCTGTTCTCTCTCTTTTCTTCCTGAATCTTGATGTGTGCGTTCCTGGATATGTGAGAAAGTTCCCAGTTGGTAGTGGAAACTATATATATATATATATATATATATATATATATATATATATATATATATATATATATATATATATATATATATATATATATATATATATATATAAAATGTGTGTGTGTGAGAGAGAAAGAGAGACACGAAGAAAGACAAAAATAGAGGGACAAAAGCAGAAACAGACAATAGGCCCGCTGCAGTTTCCTCCATTCTTCTGTTCTTATGTTCTTATATATACACACACACACACACACACACACACACACACACACACGTCCATCACCACTACCACCACCTCATCACAGCCACCACCACCACCGCCACCACCACCACTACCACCTTCACCATCACCTCACCACCACCACCACCACCCTCACCACCACCACCTTCACCACCACCACCACACCCCTTCACCACCACCACTACCACCACCACCTTCACCACCCACCACCACAACACAATACCGTGATACAACAAGAGTCGAACATTTCTCAAAAGGAATTTACACATATTTAAGTATTAACAAAAACTGGGCCTCAGAGTCCCCTGTCAGGACCTGCTGTGGCCGCTTCAGGAAAATCACTAGTGTCTCCAAGCCTTTACTGAGAAATGAATACAGTAGCTGATTTGCATACGATCTGTGGCTGGCAGACCGGGCTGGGCTGTGTGTGTGTGTGTGGAGGGAGATGTTCGCGTGATCTAAGTCTTGGCAGATAAGACACGATAAGTATATGATCACGTCGGAGTCGCGTTCTTGGAGGAGGAGGGGGAGCGGGAGGAGGAGGAGGGGGAGGGGAGGAGGAGGAGGGGGAGGGAGGAGGGGAGGGGGAGGGGAGGAGGAGGAGGGGAGGAATGAGGGGAGGAGGAATGGAAGGGTGTAAGGGGGTGGTGTCGAACCTTAACACGCGCGTTCGGTGAATTATGGAATGGAGGTGAAATGCCCGGTGGTGGTAGTGGTAGTAGTTGTGGTAGTAGTAGTAGTAGTAGTAGTAGCAAAATAGGATGTTGGTTATCTTAAAATAGATTAGGTTAGATTAGATTTACTTAAAACAATTAATTGGTTATCTTACCTTGACGCGACATAGGTGATATTTCGTCCACGTTTCTTCATAAGTTCTAAAAAAAAAAATATTGTTATCTTAAAAATTGTTATCTTGACTATTGTAAAAAAAATAGTTCGTCTACCATATTTGTAAGATAATTCTTCCACACACACACACACACACACACACACACACACACACACACACACACACACGTCGACGAAAACAAGCAGAGATAAAAAATAAACACAGACCAAGACAGACAGACAGACAGACAGACAGACAGACAGACAGACAGACAGACAGACAGACACAGACTGCAGGGGTTAGAGCGCCATAGAGCAGTAGTCAAGTATACCGCAGATCTCAATGCTCACACGCAAGCACGCATACCTGAGCATACCAGCCCAAGGTGATAGACGTGCTGGGGTATGAGAGGGAGGTACAGGGGCATGATGGGGGTATGAGGAAGGTATGAGGGAGGTATAAGGGGTATGATATGGGTATGAGGGAGTTTGGTATATCGTGGGCCCAGAGGTATAAACATACATACATACATACATACATACATACATACATACATACATACATACATACATACATACATACATACATACATACATACATACATACACATATATCACAACACATTCACAATATTCAAAACAAACAGACACAATTTCACAACACCTGAAAGCAACACACACACACACACACACACACACACACACACACACACACACACACACACACACACACACACCTGTTATTTCGTGGCCTCACTAAAATCTTGATAACGGTGGCGGTGCTCTATGGCATTGTCTAGCGTGTCCTGAGGGTGTCCTAGCATGTCATGAGGATGGCCCAGCGTGTCCTAAGGATGTCTTAACGTGTCCTACGGTCTTCTGAGGGTGTTTGAGGATGCGCTAGAATGTCCAAGAGTGTCCTGGGTGTGTTTCATTGTGTTCTAGGATGTCTCAGCGTGTCCTAGCGTGTCCTGGGAGTGTCTCGGTGTGTCCTGGGTGTGTCTCAGTGTGTCCTAGGATGTCTCAGCGTGTTCTAACGTGTCCTGGGTGTGTCTCAGTGTGTCCTAGGATGTCTCAGCGTGTTCTAGCGTGTCCTGGGTGTGTCTCAGCGTGTCCTAGGATGTCTCAGTGTGTCCTAGGATGTCTCAGCGTGTCCTAGCGTGTCCTGGGTGTGTCTCAGCGTGTCCTAGGACGTCTCAGCGTGTCCTAGTTTATCGTAGCTGTTCTAATGTATATCCCAACAAGTCCTGATATGTTCTGACGCCACCATAACACCAGCACAGGTTCTCGGTCTCACCTTGACTGGTTCTGTGCCCAGGTAATATAAGAACCCACCTGGACCTGGTTCTTAATCCACTGAGTACGAAAACTTAACCCACTGAGTACGATGACTTAACCCCCTTGAGTGCGATGACTTAACCCCTTGAGTGCGATGACTAAACCCTTGAGTGATGACTTAACCCCTTTTCTCTTTCTCCACCCCCTCCTCTCTCTCTCTCTCTCTCTCCACCCTCTCTCTCCCTCCCTCCAACTCATTATCACACAATATTGCTATTTCTCCATATTTGGGGGGTTCGAACCCAGGAGTGAACCCCCCACGTAGACCCCAGCAAACAAAGTCACAAGCTCTTAACTTACCAACAAGAGGAAATAATGTATTCTGTTGAGGTATACTTTATTTACGTGTGTGTGTGTGTGTGTGTGTGTGTGTGTGTGTGTGTGTGTGTGTGTAGTTGAAAGAGATAAGATAAATAACGTAAAATAAAATCACAAAAAAATTTTACATAGAAATATGACCTGTTCAACCACCTTCCACAATTACCACCACAATAACCATCCCTATTACCACTACCACCACCTCCCCACTACTACCATCCCCCTACCACCACTTACCACCACCTACCACCACTCTGGCAGCTAATCTAACATAACTAAATTGTAATACTAAGAGCAGTCATTACACACAGTTATTAGCGACGTTATTAGCCTCCACCGTAATAATAACACGAAGCATAATAGAGGGAACGAATTAAAGAAACAAGAATAACAACGTAGAAGAGAATAAGTAAGTAAGTAAGTAAAGTAACAAATAATAAAACATAATTAGTAATAAGTAGAGAAAAAATAGACAGGAAGATGGAAATAGTGTGAAGGAGGGAAGGAGGAAGAAGGAAGAATAATGTGAAGGAAGTAAGGGAGAATAGTGCAAAGGAAGGGAGAATAGCGTGGAGGAAGACAAGGGAGAAATGGAGACAATGAAGCAAGGAACGACAACAACAAGAAGGAAGAAAAGCGTGATGAGAGAAGAATGAGCGTGACAGGAGATAAACAGGCGTGAAGAACGAAAGACTACAGTGAAGACAGAAGGAGAATAGCGTGAAGGCAGACAATAAAAGAGAGGGAGGAGCGGTGGGGCAGTGAAGGACAATAAACATGTAGTAGTCAGTGAGATAATGAGTTATTGTGGGAGGCGGGGCGGGGTGGGCGGGGGCGGGAGTGGGCGGGGCGGGGTGAAGCTGGGTGGGACGGGGGACATGGCACCACCCGGCGCTGTTGATGACAGGGGGCCTGCTGGTGATCCTGGTGGCCTGCTGGTGATCCTGGTGGCCTGCTGGTGATCCTGGTGGCCTGCTGGTGATCCTGGTGGCCTGCTGCTGGTGATCCTGGTGGCCTGTTGGTGATCCTGGTGGCCTGCTGGTGATCCTGGTGGCCTGCTGGTGATCCTGGTGGCCTGCTGGTGATCCTGGTGGCCTGCTGGTGATCCTGGTGGCCTGTTGGTGATCCTGGTGGCCTGCTGGTGATCCTGGTGGCCTGCTGGTGATCCTGGTGGCCTGCTGGTGATCCTGGTGGCCTGCTGGTGATCCTGGCCTGCTGGTGATCCTGGTGGCCTGCTGGTGATCTGGTGGCCTGCTGGTGATCCTGGTGTGCTGGTGATCCTGGTGGCCTGTTGGTGACCCTGATGGCCTGCTGGTGATCCTGGTGGCCTGCTGGTGATCCTGGCCTGCTGGTGATCCTGGTGGCCTGCTGGTGATCCAGGCGGCTGCTGGTGATCCTGGTGGCCTGCTGGTGATCCTGGTGGCCTGCTGGTGATCCTGGTGGCCTGCTGGTGATCCCTGGTGGCCTGCTGGTGATCCTGGTGGCCTGTTGGTGATCCTGGTGGCCTGCTGGTGATCCTGGTGGCCTGCTGGTGATCCTGGTGGCCTGCTGGTGATCCTGGTGGCCTGCTGGTGATCCTAGGTGGCCTGCTGGTGATCCTGGTGGCCTGCTGGTGATCCTGGTGGCCTGTTGGTGATCCTGGTGGCCTGCTGGTGATCCTGGTGGCCTGCTGGTGATCCTGGTGGCCTGCTGGTGATCCTGGTGGCCTACTGGTGATCCTGGTGGCCTGCTGGTGATCCTGGTGGCCTGCTGGTGATCCTGGTGGCCTGCTGGTGATCCTGGTGGCCTGCTGGTACACTCGGTGATGGTAGTTATGGTGATTACCTCCTGCTTGTTACCGTAACCTCCTCTCCTGCTTCTGCTGGTCTGGTCACGTCTGCTGTACCTGCTGATCTCCCCCTGGCCTCCTCCGTTGTACCTGCTGATCTCCCCCTGGCCTCCCCCGCTATAAATTTAATTCACCGCCGCCGCAGCAGGTGTGATCCTCCCGGCTACCTGAGAACAACTCCCTTGTTGCTGTCAGGCGCCGCCAAATGTTACTAACCTTCACGAAAAATAAAAACCCACTAAATAGGTTTTATTTTTCTTATTAAAACAAAACTTTATTCTTACACTTGGGAGTTTAGTTCTACTTAATAAAAATAGTTATGAAAATTATTACCATTCGTTATTATTATTTACAATTACATTCACCAGGTAATTACACTCATCATCACCTTAATTTTCCTAATTAACCTTATATTCCTACCTGTACATTCCTCCTCTTTCCTTCTGACCCATCTTCCTACCTAGGTACACCTGTCTCTCCCTCCCTGCTACACCCCCCATCACCTGCCTCAAACACAGGTAAACCCAACCATATTAGGGAGAAACTATTGCACCATTAAAGTACCACTAATCATCCTACTAACTACTAAATCCTAAATACTATATATTCACCTGACATAAAACCATGGCAGTTGATTATTAATATTTGACTAGTTGAGAGGGTTCATTCCCATGCATACTAATGATTTACCTGGACCTGAGCACCTGTTATAACGCTGCCTGGTGCTAATCAAGGCTTTTTTTTTTTTTTACCTGTTCCTACTACCTCACCCTCCTACCTACCTCACTCTCCTACTTACCCACTTACCTGCCTACTTACCTTAAACCTACCCTCTCTACCTTGTCCCTCCCTTTCTTCTCTCACTTGTGTTTGTTATCTCTCTCTCTCTCTCTCTCTCTCTCTCTCTCTCTCTCTCTCTCTCTCCTATTTTGTTTAGTTTTGTTATGTTTTATTTTATTTTTCGTTAGTCTTTTGTTTCTGAATGATGCGATGGACATATGCTGTGTGTGTGTGTGATATACAGGTAGATACAGGTAAGTACTTATATATACTTGCTCTCTCACCTGCGTCTCCCCTCTTAACACTCTCAGTCTGTCAGTCTCTCGTTTAAGACTCAGTTCATTAGTCTGTCTATTTGTCTATCTCGTCAGTTTGTCTAGATAATCTTGACCAGGTGTTGTGTTAAGTCCCGTTTCCTGCAGTCGTCCACAAGGGTTCATCAAGTACTCAGCTCTCTCACTGTTTCCCTGTACCTACCTCGTTAAACTCTCGTACCCACTAAGGCGACCTCGTTAGGCTCTCGTACCCACTAAGGCGACCCCGTTAAACTCTCTTACCCACTAACATGACCTCGTTAAGCTCTCGTACCCTGCTAGACTTGCCCCGTGTTGCCCCTCGTGACCACCCAAGCTGCCCTGCCCCGCCGTGCCCCGTATCATCCACCAAGGTTCATGGGAGCTTCACAAACCAGACAAGACCTAAATTATCAAGAGCTTCGTGTGTGTGAATGTGTTTGTGTGTGTGTGTGTGTGTGTGTGTGTTTGTGTGTGTGTGTGTGTGTGTGTGTGAATGTGTGTGTGTGTGTGTTGTGGGGTGGGGTATGTTGTGTTGTGTTGTGTTGTGTTGCCCGGATCGTTGAAGGTACAAAATGGCGTCGATAATGCACTGAGACTGTAACGAGAGGTAGATGTGTTATTGTTTGGGTCCTTGAGAATACATTAAACTTGTGCTTGACGCGGAGACTTCTTGAGGACGCTCTATATTGCCTTTAACGCCAGTACAAGAGTTCATCAGCGTCTGTCGTTTCTAATCAACATTCAGTAGTATGATATGTGACGTATGCCAGATGAATGCCTTACCACCGCCCCCCATCATGCCTACACTAGTGTCCCTCATACCTCACCACCACTCATCATACCTCACCACCACTCCTCATACCTCACCACCACCCCTCATACCTCACCACCACCCCTCATACCTCACCACCACCCCCTCATACCTCACCACCACCCATCATACCTCACCACCACCCCTCATACCTACACTAACTCCCTCTTTACACCCTGATCGTCGTTTCTACACACTCGTCTCCTCGTCACCATACAGCTCGAGAGATGTGACCAAGAGTTGTCTAGCGAGAGAGCGAGGTGCAGATGACCCCCCTCCCACCTTAGGCGACTCACTCAAGGACCTTCTGGGTATATCATGATCTTTCTTTACTTGTGTTACCTGTCATTACCACTGTATACCTGTCTACCTGTGCCTCTGTTGCTCCTCCTGCCCCCTGGCTCTCTCTAACCTTACTGGGAATGAATTTCTCTCTTTCTCTCTCTCGCTGTCTGTCTGTCTCTCCCCTCTTTCTCTCTCCTTCTCTTCCTCTCTCTCTCTTTTGTTGTTCTATAACCTAACCTAACCTAACGGTACCTGGGAGGAGGGAAGTAAAGTTAGATTAGGATGAGTTAAGTTAGGGTGGATTAGTCAGGGTGTTTAATCGTCAGGTGAAATAAACTGGGAAGTGTAATCTTCAGGTGAGTCAGTCAGTATAACACATGTGGTGGTTGTTCGTGTTGCCGGAGGGGCCTCAGCTGGCCCCCGTGGTGTTGTGTCTTACTGTCATGATCCCGAGTGTCTTCCACGATGACCCCGTGGCCTTCTGAGCGGTGTCTTGCCTTGCTTGCCCTCCACGACGATGCCGTTCCTTCTGTGACAACCCCGTGCACTGTCGAGTACCGCCTTGCTCTCTGCTGTGTCCCTGTCTCCTCCCCAGTGGCTTCTTGCCCTCCATGACAACTCTGTGCCCTCCCTGGGGGCCCCCTGCCCTCCATGACGACCCCGTGCCCTCCCGGGTGGCCCCTTGCCCTCCACGACGACCCCGTGCCCTCCCGGGTGGCCCCTTGCCCTCGGTGGTAGTAGCCAGCAGTAAACCCCGCCCAGCAGGAGCGAACCCTCCCCCCTCCCCGACGGTAGAGCCCCGACACTAAACACTCACCTCCTCTGGCCAACTTCGCAAATTGCTACTTGGGATCCTCGGAAAGCCTACCATAACAGCTAGATGATGGTGATGCACCGCAGCCGGCCTGGTATTAGCCATCGGACATGCAACATACCAGAGCGGCGCTGTGGTATGCATTCGCACTGGTTCCGCAAAGGCTAGACTGCCGGGGTAGCAGAATGGGACAGTTATTAATGGGAGTCTGTATATCCGAATTCCATGTCGGTACTTGAAGGCCAGTCAGTGCTGGAGGGGTCCACTGACGCCTTATTTTGACTTGTTGTATCGACGATGCCAACTTCTTACGGAGCGGAGCGCTGGGGAACACTTCATACTTTTTTTTTTTTTTACTTTTTTTGTGCGTGTGTGAGCGGAGTGTGTGGTAGTGAGCGAGGATCTGACCTTCGGCTCCAGCTCTGGGTATCAGAGTTTATGTGTCTTTTAACCTGTTTCGCTAACTGTCGGACACTTTTGTCTCTTCGTTAAGATATTTTATCGCTATTCTCTCTCGCTTTTGGTCACTTCTCGCTTAATATCAACCACCTGGTAACGACCCAACTCATCGCTTACATTAACTTGACGTAGGTGTTTGTGATAGAGAGTTAGTTAGTTAAAGGAGTCTGAATTTTTTCATTTTTTCCGAACGTCGACATCCAGGACGGCCGGTGCGTGGCAGATGACCGCTCAGTTACCAGTCTACATGAAGCTGACAATTACACTGTCAGAGACGCTGCACTGATTCTCCTCCCTCCCCCCTCACCCTTCCACCCCTCACACCCTCTACCCCTCCACCCTCCACCCTCACACCTCCACCCCTACACCCTCTACACCCCTCCTCCCTCCTCCCTCCTTACACTCCTCACCCCCCCCTCCCACCCCTCCCTCCTCCTACCCCTCCCACCCCCCCACACCCTCCTCCCCTCATACCCTCTACCCCTCCCCCTCACACCCCTCCACCCTCCCTACCCCTCCATCCTTCAAACCCCTCCCCCACTTCCTCCACCTCCCTCACTTCCCTCCCACCCTCCCCCCACCCCTCCACCCCTCACACCTCCCACCCCTCCTCCTCCCCTCCTCCCTCATCCTCTACCCCTCACACCCCTCCCACCCCTCCCTTCTCCTACCCCTCCACCCTCACCCCTCCACCCCTCACACCCCTCCATCCTTCAAACCCCTCCCCTCACTCCCTCACACCCCCTCCACCTCACACATACAAGTTTACCTCAGCAACTCAGCAGGAGAAGGGAGGTAAGTTCAACTGACTCAGAAGACTAACTGACTACCTATACTGACTCAGCGGAGAAACAAAGGCTACTGACTAAACTCATAACAATACTTACCAAGAGAGTAGAGTAGATTTGACTGAGTTACTGACTGAGTTACTGAGTTCCAGGAGTGAGGGCAACAGGTTCCTCTTCCTCTCGACACCGACTGACTTTGCAGCTGGGTGAGGGAGGACGCGCTCAAGTGCCACTCAACAATTACTTAAAAAAGTATTGAGAAACGAGTCGTCGGTCAAGTGCCACTCAAGACCGACGCTCAGAATGACGGATCACCTGAAGATTAAACACCCTAATACTACCTTACCTAACCTAACCTAACCTAACCTAACCTAACATAACCTAACCCAACCAAAACCTAACTTAACCCAACCCAGGTAGCATAAAGGCGGGTTAATCATCCGGTGATATAAACTGGAGGGACATCTAATCTCCAGGTAAACCATCTAGACATCAAGTAAACACCAAATTAAACCACATAAAACCATAATAAACCAAAACATCATCATAACATCATCTTAGAACTACAAATATTGGTTTAGGTTTTAGTTGGTTTACCTGTTAAAGGATTTAATTAAACCTCCGTATCACCTGGTCTTTAAAAATTTCACAAAATGATCATTAGAATTAACACAATTTTATGAACCGTAAAAAAAAATCTACTTGTTTCCTGGTAATGGTGAACA